GTGCCCACCTGTGATGCCAGGAAACGTGGCCAATGGATGTCACATTCTTCTCCCACTTCCTTCTCTTCATCATGACTCCTACTTGTCTCCTGCTGCCTTGAGCCTTGCGTTGATCCTGAAGCAAGGCTCACAGGGCCCTGCTCTCACTCCCTCTCCCTGCAGCACGGGAGGAAGATGTGTGCTCAAGGAGTGGCTGTCTTGGTCTGCCCTTGCTGCTCCTGTGGACCTCCTCCCTTCCACCGTGTGCTGCTTTTTTTGAATCTTTTGACTCATTAAACTGTTGCTTCATCCTAATGTGAGTGTCCTTGTGTTCCTTGCATTCCCTCTTGGGTTGTCCTCCCAAGCTACCATGGCCTATATGTAATACTTGGGAGGGATCTTGGATGTGGAAAGACAAAGAACTGGACCAACTGCATTCCTTTCCTTCCCTTCCCTTCCTCCCTCCCTCCCTCCCTCCCTTCCTTCCTTCCTTCCTTCCTTCCTTCCTTCCTTCATGCCTTCCTGCCTTCCTGACTTCCTGACTTCCTGCCTTCCATCTTCCTTGCTTCACAGAATCACGGAATCATATGGTGTTTAAGTTTGGAAGGGACCTCTATAGATCCTCTAGTCCATCCTTCCTGCTCAAGAAGGGACACCTAGAGCACATGGCACAGGGTGACATCCAGGCTGGTTTTGAAGACCTCCACGGAAAGAGACGCCACAAACTCCCTGGGCAGTCGCCTCCAGGGCTCTATCACCCTCACAATAAAGAAGATCCTCCTCACATGGACATGGAACTTCCTGTGTTTGATCATAAACCCATGTGTTAACAAGGAGATCCCCTCTCAGCCTTCTCTTCTCCAAGTTAAAGAGGCGCAACTCACTCAGCCTGCACATCCCTGAAAGACCTCAAAGCCATATATCTGCTTTGCATCTCTCCCACAAGGTACAGAGGCATGAGACCACAGAGACACCTTGGAAAGATGGGCACTAAGTGAGGATTTCCCAGGGGAAATGCAGTCAACATGAGGCTGTGGGCCAAGGGAGCTGGAGAGCATGAGAAGTCTTCATCACGTCCAGAGGAGAGWCACCTCTCCTTCTCCTGCTCCAAGACCTCAGGAAAGGGAGCAAGGAAGGAAGGAAGGAATGGGTTCAGGGCAGCAGTCCAGCACATTGCCTTTCAACATCCAAAATCCCTCCAAAGCATTACATTTAACCCAGGGTTGTTTGGCAGGATAACCCAAGAGGGGATTCAAGGAACACAAGGACACTCAGATTAGGATGCAGCAACACTTTAATGAGTCAGAAGAGTTAAATAAAGCAGCACATGGTGGAAGGGAGCAGGTCCACAGGAGCAGCAAGGGCAGACCAAGACAGCCACTCCTTGAGCACACATCTTCCTCCCGTGCTGGAGGGAGAGGGAGTGAGAGCAGGGCCCTGCGAGCCTTGCTTCAGGATGTACCCAAGACTTAAGGCAACAGGAGGCCACAAAGATGCTCATCCCATGGGGAAACTGTGGTCTGCAGCTGCGTGCTGAGTCCGGCAGTGCTCTTGAAGCCTTCAAGTGCTCACTGGATGTGCAGGCAGCGTTTAGTAGGGCAGGCACCTTCTTGTAAAGGTGCGACCACCCAGGCTGGAGAGGCCAAAGCCCCCGGAGGAGATGGGGACTCCCTCCTCACTGAGGATGCTGCCAACAGCAGCGGAGGTGCTGGATCCCACGGCGGTGTTCTGCGGGAAGGAGCTGAGGATGGGTCCGGGCAGGGTGACCACCACYGGAGAGGGCTGGATGACCACGCGGGAGTCCTGGCACTGCCTCACACAGGGCTCGTTGCAGCTGTTGGCCAGCGGGGTTGGGCCACAGGGACGGCACAGATCGTAGCACGACATGTCTGCGCGATGGAGGTGCACCTGGAAGGGAGGGCAGGAGAAGACGGGCAGCGTGTGAGGAGCGGCCAGAGCACGGCTAGAGTGAGGGCAAAGGCAGAGTGTGTGGAGCAGGGAGCGGTAGCCAGGGAGCAGGAGGGAGAGGAGAGCGAGGAGAGCGAGGAGAGCGAGGAGAGCGAGGAGAGAGAGGCCGAGGGGATGGCAGCTCACCTTGTTCACCAAGGAGGAGAAGGCAAGAGCAGTGGATGAGAGAGCTTGGAGTTGCACTGCCTTTTATACTGGTCCCGATGCCTGAGGCCCAGAGACACGTTCTTATCCATGTCATACATTTACCATCACTCTCATTTTACATGCAAATCCTAATGATCTCCCCAAATGATATCTTTTCTTATTTCCTGTAATTATCCTTCTCCCTTCCATTGCTTATGAGGTGTCTCTTCCTCTACAGGGCTGTCTGTCCTATTGCAGAATGATGACATGATTTTCACAGAAAATAGTGTGATTTCACGTCATTTAGACATTTATGGTTCTCTGTTCTGGGAGAAATACTTTTTTGTTCTCTCTTAGTTTAAGCTTCTTTGCTAATGGATGTTCATTTGGGTAAGAGAAACATACCAGACATGCACTATATGCATGAAACACCTTGTTATGCCAGTGGATTTCCAGATATTTTTTTTACTCTTTCTTAGGACTGGACTGTGTAATAATTCATATTTTTTTTGGACATTATTTTTGCACAGTAATATAAAATCAATATGTTGTTCAGTCTGAGTATCAACACTCAATCTCTCCTCGTTACATAGCAGTTTATTGCCCTGAAGTCATATATCCTGAGATTTTGTGCAGACTTATTGATAAATAAGTTGATTTTATTTTATTGTAACTACTTTTTTAGGGAGAGTTTCCCTTCAGCCCACCACATTKTCCTCATTTTAAACGTTTTGGCTAGACACAGAAAATACAAGGGAAACTCAGTGCAAGGACGGTGAACTCTGCAGATCAGTTCTTTCTACTTGGCCAGACATCGGGTTGAACATTCGAGATATCAATCAAACACCACGGTGCTACATCAGACACTCCAAATTTCTGTGAAGTCCCCACAAAACAAAAAGACTTTGTATCACTCATGTACTARCAACAATAGAGACTGCAATTGCATAACACAAAAAAAAAACGTACTAAATATTTTATGTGAAACTCAGTGGACAAAGTGTTGAGGTGGTTAAGAGTCTTCRACTTGGGAATTTAACATGGCAAAGTAGCTGCTTTTTCAGAGCAATCCAGAATAGACTTTTTCCTTGGTGGAAAAATTCGGCTCAGTAGTCATAGGGAATTAATTCTGTAGTGATCATCAGATTGGGATAAGTGATAACTTCCAGGAGCAATGGAAATAGTTCTACAAAAAAACAAAAAAAAAAAAAAAAAAAAAAAAAAAAAAATCTTTTCAGTATTTTTTTTCCTACTTGGTAATACCAGAATCTTGATTTTCTCTTTTCTTCCATTATATATTTAGAAACCACTGAGGTGTGTCCACTTGCAGATCCTTTAGGCTGCAGAGCAATATTGAAGCTTCTCCTTTGGCTTCTTTAAAGGAGAGAACTTCAAAGTCAGTCCCAAATATTCATTAATGGTTGAGACATACAAAATGCATATCCTATGTAAATATTTTAAGTATATGACAAAATGTAAATAGTTATGTCACTTGGATAATAACATTACTTTAAGTTGGAGAGTCTCAGTTACTCCCTAAACAAGTAATATTTAATAGCTTCAGAAACAGGAGTGATTATTTTTTTCATTAAAAGTGGTTTTGCATTTGCCATAAGAACCCTCTATAAAACTTCTGGAGCTGATCCTCACCTGCTCCAAGTTTTTATGTGTGAAACTATGTGAAACAGTAGCACTAGGGGACTGAGCAACAATGTTAACATCCCACTTTCCCAAGCACTAGTCTGATGCCATAACCATCTCTGTTGTTACTATCAAAATTTGATTCATTTGTTTCCTTTGAATTGTGTCTTCTCTCCCTTTGTCTTTCACCAACATAAATTGGGATTTTGTGTTTTATTTGCTTAGCTTTTAAGAAAAGAGCAGTTCTGGATATCCTAGTCCTTTCTGAAGGGCAACGTGTCCTTCTGCCTTCAAGCTTTGGTTGAACTTCGTGATGCTTCTCCATGCAGTGACCTTGGCCAAGGGGTCTGGATGGGTACCCAGAGCCACCAAGGATGACAAAGACTGTTCTCATCTGCATAATTCATCACTCTGTTCTCATATAAGAAGTCCTCACTGTCAGCCCGTGGGACAAGCTAATCAGGTAGAGCTTCACATTCTCGGGGAGCCTGGCCATGCCCTTCCTTAGGGACAGCTTTCCGATCTGGAGTTGTTTACCTTCTACCTGATGGTTTCTTTAATAGAGTGGCATTTTTTTTTTTCTGTTTATAAATCCCTTCTAAATTACAAGGTGTGCTGGAGGGATCCCTCAGGCAATAACTCTTATCAGAAAGTCTTGTGGCCTCCTTATACATCAGAAACCCTCATTATTGATTTACAAATACAGAGTGCTCTGTTAATATATTTAAAGTGTAGCAGTGATTTTAGACACCCGTGAATTGACTAATATTATCCTTTTAAAATAAAGAGATCAAAGTCACATTCCACTAATCAAGTTCTAATCAGGTCATGATTTCCTGTCTGGTACCACWGGATTTTTTTTTCCCCTTTACACTGCATTCGTATCAGATTGTGTTCACCCCTATAACATCTCTGCTGACTCTTGACCCCAGTGGATGCAAATTAACATCTCTTAAGCTGTTAAGCAGGAGTGATTTGAACCCCTTCTCGTAAACTCCATCTCCCTGGAGGTCTCTTGCAGCTCTGCTAGCTCTGACTCAGTGTGTGGGTGTCTTGGAGGAGGTGTTAYGGGGAATCACTACACTGGTCTTGAAGTGATGCCAGAGAGCATAGCTACTACTTTTGTGACCCTGCAGAAAGATTTGTCCTTCTGTACCTATTACTTCAGTCATTGGTTGTACCTAAGGAACCTGCAGGCTTAGAGGAGTGAATTCATCTTACATGATATATAGGGAGAAGGACTTTATTTCTCTTCTCAGTCTTGAATTTTCTTCCCCTCCAAGAAGYTGGATCCTAACCTCGGAAAGTGTTGTCCATTCATGGGCCAGTGGTATGACCGTGCAACAGAGTCTCCTCAGCTGCTTTTGCCAGACTGATGAGCAGCAGAGGATTCCAGTTCCCCAAATGCTGTGACCACATCTGCAGTTGGRACTGAAAAATTCTCTTGGCAGGTTTTATGTATGAGCTTCTTCAACCATGCAAGTAAGTAAGATGCTGTCATTGCTGGGGTACTATTTTACCTGGTGGGATTGCTGAGAGACTTCAAAATTAAAAAAAAAAAAAAAGAGTGCTTATTCTTCCTCTTTCATGCTGAATGCCTTTTAACTCTCTCATTTACCAGTATTCCTTTATTTTCTTCTTTTTATTTTTCCTCCATAATTCTGCAGTCCTCATCTTTTAAATGATTCCTGCAAGAGAGGTGTGAAGTAATGACAGTCATTGGGAATGGCCTGCGGAAGTTTCAGATCAAAGGATTTAAAAGCACTTTGCAAAGCCTCATTAATGATTTATAAATGCAAAACACTTATTATCATATTTTAAGTATCTGGCATGATTGGGGTGCTTTAGAACAGAGTTACAAAGTCACCCTGAAATACGCGTCAAGGTTGTTAATGCACATTCTCTAGGTGCTTGCATCACACTTCATTTCTGCTTGATTTGCATTTGAAAAGCAGCTCTACACTATTTTAAGAGCATGTTTAGAAATATGAAGCCAGCATATCAGCAGGTTTAAACCAGAACCTTTTCCCTGGTTTCAGCACTGTTCACACAGCTGTAGATGGAAACGTGCACCAAAAGCACATCCCTAGAGGTCTCAGTTTTCTTGTAATATTTTTCTACTTCTCACCTGAATCCCTTTGACACCTGTCAGAAACAAACAAAACAAAACAAAGGAAATAAACAAACAATAACAACAAAAGCCAAAGCTGGATCAGGCTATTCTGATAAATATAGAGAATATGCAAATCTTGCTCCAGTAAAAGAATAAAAATAAAAAGCTAGGTAACTAATTAGGACTTCAAATACAAAAGGTTCTTTAATATTTCAGTCAATTTAAGAAAGTTTCTACCGCCCAGGCCTCCCATTTCTCTCCTTACTCCTTCTTTTATTTGCTTGTTTTATTGGTTTGTCTTTAACTATTCTTTTCAGGAAAGTAGGCAAAACCTACAGGTTAGGTAGGTTAAGACAATTATTCCATGATAGCCAGCAATTACCTTAGGGATGATTTTTAATGTAGGTTTTCATTAAAAGAATTTCTTTTAATAAAGATCATTATTCTGCAGTTATTAATTTACAGGCATGAGTAATTGCAGAGTTCTTAAAAGACAACTCAGGTTTCAAAATATATAAATGAAGGCACTGATTTTAACTGGAGAGGTCATCTTAAGTACCTGAAGTATCTTTGAAAACCTCGATTTCCTGTTCTGTGTAAAAGCTAAATTATGCTTACGTCAAGTAGATCTCTGCAATAGTAGAATTTCGTCTTTGAAGGACTCATCTTCTGTCTAAAATGATCAGTCCCAGACAGAAGGTCACAGGTGTCCAGAACACAGGTCTAATCTTGGTTATACACACTTCATTCATCCTACAGGCTGAGATTTGCACCAAATCCTCACTGCAGTGTGGAAACAGCATTGGGAGAATGTGGTTATAATGGATACTCCTGGAGTTAAATCAGTTATTAAAACTCAGGGAATCTGCTTTTACTCGTTCTCTGCTGCAAATTTCTTACCTAAAACTGGAAGAGTCACTTCAGACCACACCAAAAATTGTTCCCTGTGCTTTTCTGCACCAAAAGCCCCTCCCTTAATCCCTGCGCATTAACTTTGTGATTGTAAATGAGAAGATAATCCTCTCTCTCTCCCACTCTCTCTCCCTTTTGTTTT